AAAGCCACATTTGATATCGACATAGAGGCCGCCGTGCTGGTAGTGGTAGACGTAGCGGAACACGTCTGCTCTATGAGCTGGCTGACTGAGGCGATCCAGCAGATTGGAGCCGTACTTGCCGGCGAGTTGCCGCAGGGTAGCCCGAAGGACACCATCATCACAGAATTTTCGGGTGAAGCCGGCAAACATTTTGGCCGCAACTTGGGCTGGCTCCGGCTTGTCGTCGTGGATGTAGGTCTGGAAGAGGAGGGCCGGGACGGGGGCGGCCTCCCATTCTGATAGATGCGTGAAGCGCATCCCCCATGGGCCATGTCCGTACTGCATGGCTACCTCCGAAAGATCTCGGACAGTTCGGCATTGTGACAGAGCCTGGGCAGCAAGCATTTCGACATGCATGTCCTGCTGGCGGGCATTCCAGCCAGCAACCACGAGGACAGGCAGTCGGGGTGTTGCGCATTTCCTCAATGGCTCTTGTGACAAGTGCCGGAATGACGATGTCCGCGACATCGGGGCGGAAGTGGAGATTCTTGGAGTTGTAGAGCCATTCTACCCCTCCTACACCAGGCATCTGTGCCAAATCCATGATTTCCTGATTGGGCAGGTTCTTGTCCGCAAATCCATATTGGACCCTGCCGTCTATCAGGTAGTCATAATTGATTTGCTTCTCCGGGCGCAGGCTTCTTGACAGCGGAATGAAGCGAACGTTGATTTGTCCGTCAAGGTGGCTCTCCAAAATGGAGGCCACCGGCTGACTCTGAACTGCCGCCTTGAATTTGTGCGGCCCGAAGAGGCCAAATTGCCAGTGGAGGAGCTCCATGATGGAGGGGACGCTGCTTGAGGGCGGCGCCGGGACAACTTAAGACCTGTCCCGTCAGCAGTGGGAACACTCCGTACGTGTGTCCCCGCAGCATGTGCTGCAAAGTGCTGTCACTGAGCACCAGGAAGGGTCCCAAACTGGGAGGGTTGTCCATGGTCTCAGCTTTAGCTGATGGGCCAGAGTCTGTGACACGCGGCCAGGAGGTGAGCTGTGCTCTTCGCGGAGTCGCAGTTTGTTCCGAAGTTTTAGCTTCTGCAAGGCATGACTTTAGTGCAAGCTGCGGTACTTCTGCTGTTGCTTACTGTATCGACAGTTCGAACTGACAGCTGCGGTATGCATGCACAGCATTTCAGAGTCTTATGACCAAGCACAAAGCTCAGGCAACGCAGGACAACTGGAGACAAAGAACATCAGCAGAGGGCACGCGAGCAGGGACTGCTGGTGCCATGTGGTAGCTGAGACCTCGGATCGCAGGATAGAGCAAACGATGATGCAGCAGTAGCTGGGTTCTGGCATGCTGCAAGGTCAATTTCTCTGGGCAGGTGGGCAACACATCGCATACTGTGACTAGCTGGGTGGCTGTGCCACACCTGATCGGAGGCTGTGCCACATTCCTTGCATGAGTCAGTGACCTCCCTGTGGCTCACAAGTGCTCAGAAAAGACTGTAGTAGTGGTCATAGAGAACACTGGATACCTCTTCGTCTCTGCTGATGGTTGCCGTTGGCCCGACTGGATTGAGGGGGTTCCGGAACTTCTGCACCACGACCTGCTTGCTGTGCTGAATGTGGATGGTGAGCTCTTCGGACGCGAGGTGCCACTGGGGCGTGTCAAAAGACTGGACCATGACACGTAGGTCGAGAAACATAGCTGCCCTGGCCGTGCGGTGTGGACTTACAAAGAGCTTTTGCTGAACCAGGGAGAGCACTGCTGCGCACCAGGATCTGCTAACCGACGCCATTGAGATGGCCGTCAGCAAGTCTGGTTGCGGTATCGCCAGTCTGACATGGACGCCCTGCTGGTCGTAGTCCGTGTCTACGTACCGTTGCACGAAGACAGCTAGGCCTTCATGTAAGCAGCGGAAGGCCCAGAGGCGTGCTTGCTCCTGGATCTCGTCCCTGAGCCGCAGTATGGGAACGAGAGTGCTGGGGGGTCTATATGCAGCGATTTCAGTTTCCAGCATTTCCCTGTCCAAACCGTAGTCCGAGTAGAAATCCACAACGACCACTTCGGGGATGATGAAGGAAAGAGCGCGGCAACATGATTCAGTGCATAGAAAGGATGACATCCACTATGGTTGGCAGGGCAGCTGAGAGCAAACCGAGAAATGTCTGCAGAGAATCCTACTTTTAGCACGAACCAGTGAGCTGCAACGCTGAGCCGCAACGCTGAACGGATTTGCCTTTTTAAAAGAAGAAAAGCCCGGCGCGTCGCATGGTCTGTGACCAAATGGCTGGAGGCTGTGCCATCTGACCTAAAGGGGGCGACGCAAGACTGAGGTCGGAATGAAGTGCACCTGCTCATAGTGGACGCTGATGGCCTCCCTCGAGAGGGTGCCAGCTTGATCCGGCAGAACTTCAATGAACACTCCTGCTCCTTGCTTTCGCAGATGGATGTAGGCTCTCCACACCCCAATCCAGGGTTTGCCGTCTATGAGTCGAGTGATTTCGGAGTACCACGCACGGCAGACCGCCGCAAGCGGTATAGCCTGTAGCAGATTGAGATTGACAATGCCGAGCTGAGCATGCACTCCATTATGGTCGATCCTGAGTGTGTCGCCGATAATGGAGTACTGCGAGGAGGGGCCCGTACGAGCCCAACGTAGAAGTAGATCCCGTAGACGATCACGCGTGGCACGAGCTTCATCATGAAGCAGGTCCAGATCGTTCCAGTATAGGAGGCGGGGTAGGGCGAAGCGTCGTAAGTGTCAAGAGTGAGTACCCCTGGGAGTAGGTGTTTCATAGCGTGGCGCCGGGAGAGCTCATCCATGGCAGTTAGGAGACTCTTAGAGCCAGCTGACAGAAACTGGCAGGCGGCAGAGGGCGTGCCGAGAAGTAACTCAACTCAAAGTGCACGCCCTACGAACTCCTACTGGTACGGAGGATGCCCAGTTTTTCAAGCCGAGAGCACTGTTGCTGGCTTCAAAAAGTTAGACTCCTTAATGGCACATTTAGTCCTGTTGCTCGGTCTCATTCTGCAGGTCATCATAGCTGTCAAAGAGGAGCGCATGCCAGGCGTTGAAGCCCGAGGCGCGGTAGGCAGCGGCGGGAGCTGTGCGAGCTAGAGGTGAAGTGAGGGTCTCGACCGGCAATCTGAACGCCATCGAGACCGGGAGGCAGAAAATGTCCTGGCCTTCACGAACCGACACTGAGCCTGACTTGCGCAAGCGTGACATCGCCACCAGAAGTTCCACTGTATTGATGCGGGCTTGACCAGATATCATGGCTGATATGAGGTCGTGCCAGACTCGATTGACAGTGGCAAGTCGTCGAACTTGTTTTAGACGCGGCTGCGTGACCTCGTAGATAAGATGCATGCCCGTCGGGTCCAGTGTGTCTGGCGCAGGTGGGGGGATGTAGGTGATGGAGAGGGCCGGCCAGTGGTTAAAGCACTCTTGAAGAAGTTTCAGGAGGCCCGTTCTGGCTGCTGTCAGGCTGTCCCTACGAAACGAATCTTCGGTGGGGGTGAGGCCTGGTCCTGTGAGGCTGGACTGGCGACTCGAGCCATCGATGGCTGTTCTGTCCAGGTCCGTCAGCTGCAAGTAGAAGTCGAGGCTTAGAAGCATCGGCGTCAGGAAGTGAAAGATTCGCTGGACGAAGGCGTCTTCCATCATCGCAGGCTGGCGAATGTAGGGCAGAGCGGAACTTTAGAGCCTAGAAGGACTGAAGAATTGCAGTGACGTAGTTGCAGCGGTGCAGAAAGCACATGTACTTTAGTTCCTGCTTTAACCTCAACCGACGAGCAGAGATGGTCAGAGACTGTGTCTCAGCTCAAGAGGCTGTGCCATTCGAACTAATCATCTGCAGTGCCTAGCGGAAGGCGAAAACCCAACTCTGTCAGGCGCTGTTGCAGCGTTGGTGAGAAACGAGAGACTCCTCTTGCCGTGTAGGCCGCCAACCTGCACGCCCGTCCTCGGGGAAATTTGCGCTAAGGACACTTTATATTTTGCGCTTTGGGAAGAGTAACGCTCTTTTTTGCGCTTTCGGGACTGTTGTCTTTGCACAAGACGAAACAATAAGGTTGTTTCATGAAACCTGAAGGGTTACAACATGTATCGCTTGTGTATGCACCATTCGGGAGCGGAAAAGTCCCGATGCAATCATTCATAGTTGTGTGTCCGCTACCATATCCGTCACTTCTGCACCCGATGCATCGCTGTTCTACAAGAAATCTATGCTGACCCAGGTGTAAATTATTGGGCAGCCTCGCAGGAGGGTTCGATGCTTGAGCAAAAACAAGTTTTCCGTAAAAAAACAAAGCGCAACACACTTATATGTTTCATGATATATTAATAAGTTCGTGCACAAACAAGAGGTTGGCGACTGCATGGTTTCTGTTGTACTGTATACTATTATAAGGAAACTTTGTATATATATATATATATATATCGTGGAATAAAAACCCCCGAGAGAAGAAAGCCCCGGCAGCGCAGGATGCGGCCAGGCCGCCCCCCGGCCAGACAGGCAGAAAGGAAGGAACCCCGGCAACACAGGGCACGGCTACGCCGCTCCCCGGCTCAGGCGGGCGAAAGATGCGAAAGAAGGAACCCCGGCAACACAGGGCACGGCTACGCCGCTCCCCGGCTCAGGCGGGCGAAAGATGAGAGTTGAAAGTTTCGGCGCTCACACTCCGCACTCGGACAGTCCAGGCAGGCATTTGGTTCGGAGTTGAGAGTTTAGGGTTTAAAGGTTTAGGAGTTAATTTAGGGGTGCCTGCAATCGAAAGGGGGCTCTTGCAAAAAAGGGGTTTCGACATGCACACTCGCTCACGCAGGCACGGCTTCGAGGTCCCACTAAGGTTTAGGGGTTTTGGGTTTTGCACACTGAGGGTTTTCAGGGTTTGCAAAGGTGTCTTACAGTTGGTCGAGGCTCTTCGGTTCTGAGTTTCTGGAGGATTGGCGGTTTTAGGTTTAGGGCTTAGGTTTCAGGGCAGCGCACGAAAGAGACTCAAGCCGCAATCTTTTTTCTAGTTGCTCCCTGCAAGCTTCGCGTTGTAATGCAGCTGCCATCGCTGCAACACACGCAGGGAGATCGAAGACGAATGTACGGAGCCCTTCACAATCTTTGTGATCTGCCCCACATAGTCTTCTTCTGTCCAACACGAGCCCCATCTTGGATTTAATCTTGAAGTGAGCATCCGCAAGACCAGCTCGCAATGAAATTGATGCGTCTTGGGACGCATCTTGTAGCGTGGCCTTCCCTCGAATAGCGCTTGCTGAGCAAGGGCCGCATATGTCTCCACATAGATTCGGCCCGCCCTTAGCGCGCACTGGGTCTCGAACGTAACTGAATCTCGATAGTTTAGTCTTTGAAATACGAATCCCTGCACAGGAAATCCCAAAATTGTAGCTGAATGTCTAGTTTCGTCTTTGAAACACGAATCCCTGCACAGGAAATCCCAAATCTGTAGCCGAGAATCTCGACGAGAGAGGTCGCCTCGCTGTCGCTCAGCCACATAGAAGCTCGATCAAGAATGCCATTGTAACGAGTTACAGCCCACGCGCAAACAGCTTGCGCACGCAGTTGAGGCAGATCGAGATCCTCGAAGCCCAGGGTCTTGGGGTTTGGGGCTTTAGGTTTTGCAGGGATGGTGCGGGTACGGGCTTTAAGGCCACAAAAACTTCAGGCCCCAAACCCAGAAAAAAACCTGAAACCATACAGATCGAAGAAATTAGGATGCGACATAAATGTTTCGCGAGGAGCTCGTAAGCGCTCTGCCAGGTACGAGAGCCTTATTGGCCAGGGTTGAGATATATTAATTAGGTTCTAAACCCGAATTCGCCAACGACATACACAGACATGTAAAAATGCAGTCATGGGAAAGCCGAGATGCATCACGCGGTTTGCATAGGCTTTTCCAAAGCCCAGTGGAAAATCGAGACTTACGGCATCCACGGACAATTTCAAGAGACCTCGGCTACAAATAGAGGAACCTTTCAGACTAGAACAAGCAACTATCTACACTGTTAATGCAGACCGGATACTGATGCTTTCGATGGTGGAGGGTCGTATTCCGTGCTCCACGCACCAGCGCTGCACATCTGCAGTCAAGGCTTCGAGCCGTTCGTCCCACGTCGTCAGGTGATGTAGCGCCGGCCAGTGTTGCACGAGATCCATGATAATGGATGCAACGGCATCCCGGGCCGTCCCCAGCCAGAGCGCGTGCAAAAGGTCCGCGCATTCGGACAACGGACTGAACCCGCGGACCTTCAGAAGCCTGTGCTGCCAACATCCGAAAGCGATCTCGTTACCACCGGAGGTTTTAATAAAACCCAAAAGAAAGTTTCTCAAACTTTCTGGCTAAGGGGCCAAATGTTCCCGACACCTGCGAATCGAACTCTTGAGTAATCAGCAACTTAGAGAAGGCTTGGTCGGAGTCGTTCTTTTAGATCGAAGCTACAGCTACAGACCTTAATGAAGACCCAGTCCAAGTCCAAGAGGCGTGTCAGAGCCGCCGCCGCGAGATCGGCTTGATTGTTGAAGCGCTCCCTGCAGGGATCCAGCCACGGCTTCTGAGCATTCGGTAGGGCAGAGGCCAGGCACCTTGGGCATATCAAGTCGGCGTTGTTGTAGTGCCGCTGCATACACAACCATTCGCGACGGAACTTCCAGTCGCCCTTATGCACGACCAAGTGCATAGACCAGCCCTGTGTAGAAGCATCCCCCGGCAAATTGCATTTGTTCAAGCTCATCGCTAGGGTTTCCTGCAGCTTCTCCAAAGTAAGGTTCCTCCCGTCTTTGTAGGCGAACAGGTCCGATTTTATGACCTGCGCAAATGAAAACACAGCCTGGGCAGCACTTGGAGCCATATTAAAGGCACCATCCGAGAATATAGATTGCAAGTGATTGCAAATTCAACCGAGGTGCGCAAAACGGATACTTCGACATCATTGCCGCATCGTGAACAGAAAGCGGCGAGAAGCTCAGAACCATTACGCTCTTCGAACGTTTCCCAGTCCCCTCATCACCATGGAGGCTGATGGCGATCGCCTTTCGTTGATCTTCTTCAGGCCAGGACTGTACCGGATGGGCCCTGGGATGACAATAAAATGATTCGTGTATATTCCATATTTACGCTACACGGCATGGCACCAAGAAGAAGAAAACTAAAACTACATGAAACTTGTTGCACACAAGGTGCACCCCCCACTCCTCGGAGCGGGCCTGGCGCCAGAATTGACACCAATCGAGATCACCACTCCTTAGCTTGCCAAAAAAAATATGCAGCATTCAAAACCTGTATCAGTTACGACTCTGAGTGCGTCGAGCGTCAAGCGGTTCACCATGCCGGCGCGCACCATGGATTGAAGCATCTGGTGCGGCAGAAACACTGGCCAGTTCCGGCGCACAGGAGGGGTCTCTTTGACAAGTCGAGATTTCTTTTTGGGCGCAGCAACTCGTGCTTTGGCTTTCGCCTTCCCAACAGCCTGGCGAGCACGGAAGCTCCTAGAGCGGCGCACTTGCCCCATCAATCTCTTGTCTGTCTTCAGGTCCCTCAGCAGCAAAGGCGCCCCGGCGACGGGACACAGCAGCAGAACCTCGGCTTGAAGGGATGATACGGCCTATACTTGTGTAAACCTGTCATTGCGACCAATACCCGACAAACTTATACCACGCCAGCATTGTAACACAGATGAGCTACGTCCCGGCTCCTTTCCATCGCCCTGTGCAGCCTCTGTTCGATGTGTTGGGGTCTGGAACCAGAGGCTCCCAATGTTGCAGCCCATGCTGTGCCTCAGTTGCAACAATCATTTGCCTGGGTGGTCGAATTTGTCCAGCAATCTACATCATACAGGGGTGTGTCACATCTACATGCAGACGAAGTGCTGTCTGATACATTGGATTGGCCTGCTTCTGCCACAGCTGCATGAGAAACGCTCTGCACAATGGCAGCTGGCTGCCCCTGTCCCACTCGCAAGGCCAACTCACGAATGAGAGGTGATCTCTTCAAAGAAAATCTCGAACTCGCAGGTCGAGAGGCTGATGCCGAATCACTACTCTGGGCCAAGCGATTTTGAAACCGCTTGATGCGCTGTAACATGTGTCATGCAAGGCAACACGGAAAAGCTCTGCATGGCAAGGTCCTTGGCACTACATCCTGGAGAGTTTCAGTGGTGAGCGGATTGCTTCTTGTAGCACACAGGGCATTGAACAGGAGGAGTCTAAGCGCAGTTGGGGATCTAAGGTTGGCTGGGTTTCGGGCATACCAAGAACGTAAATCTCAAGGGGCGCAGAAACTCCTGTAGGTTCGAGGCTTGAGGTTTACGGCTTCAGGGTCACGGTATCCTAGGTTTGGGGCTTGCAAGTTGCAGCTGGGTTTTGTTCTTGATCTGTACGACAAAAGCTTCGCAAGCAAGGAGGATCGTGTGCAATGCGAGTGCATGCTAGTGACGCAAGTTCACTGGAGCATCAGCACACTAGCACGTGGTTTTGTGGGCAGTCTGTCTTTGTCGGCAGGATTCCCCTTGAAATCGCCTTGAAGAGGTGGCGAAAATCGACATCCGGATACTCTCGCTGGCACCCACGAACGACTTGAAGAACTAAGTGGATGATCTAAGCAGGAGTTTCCAAGCCCGGGCGCAAAGGTGCACATCCTCGCCTTTCACTAGACTCCGGCCTAGACTCGTGCATACTTGGAGGCCCTTTTGACTGAGTAAAGTAGAGTCAGTAATAGGTCGGTTATGGGGTTTCTAATAGGGTTTCTACATGGGGATACTTATAAGTAGACTTACTCAGTCAAAAAAGCCTCCAAGCTTCTATTTTGCCCTTAGCAACCCCCTACCTTACAAGCCCTGAAACCTCTAAACCCTGATATCTCTTGGACATGTGTATGTGCACCAATAGCACCGGCCCGCGAGGTTGCTCGAGCTCCAAAGCTCAGGACTGCAGCTGCTCCGAAGACTTGCCCTTGCGCTTCGGCTGCGACTCGCGGCGTTCTGCCTGGATCCTTGGCGCAGGGATAGCAGGCCAGGAAAGAGAGCGACAGAGAGAGACAGAGAGAGAGAGAGAGAGAGAGAGAGAGAGAGAGAGAGAGAGAGAGAGAGAGAGAGAGAGAGAGAGAGAGAGAGAGAGTGACGGAGTGAGAGAGTGAGAAAGTGACAGAGTGAGAGTGGGAACTATATAGTCATTCAGAACGCGCAGACAAATACTAAGACTAAATTATTGTGGCTCGTGCAGTCAGAACTCAAGCTCTGCGCGGTCTTCTGGTGCTTCTTCCAGGCTTCCACGAACGGGGTAACCTCGCGATTTCATTTGATGCTTTAAAAATTCACAGGAAACACATACGTGAGCATCCGGAGCCTTCAAAAGCCAAGCGGCTTGCAGCAGAATCGATTGCACATCAGAGGCCTGTGGCGCAGTCCCCAGTTGCTGCAATTTCTTGCGTCCATCGGTGATGCCCGAAACAGCCGCATTGATGAAATTGATCAGCTGCTCCTGGCTCTCCAGAGGCTCCAACCTGAGTCTGAAGCGTTCACATATGGCAGTCGGTTTCAGTCAATGGCAGACAGGGAACTCTGCGGTCAGTCGGACCGCCAGCCCCGATGCCGTCGTTGCCGCACCGATCCAGGATTTCACAAAGGAGTTGCAGCCCTCTTGCGAGGCCTCCATAATGTGCACCTCCATGTCGCTGCCCTCGGTCGTAAATGGTTGGAACACAAACAAAGAAGCCTGCAGTCACTCAGCAGAGTCTCCTATGTACTGCTGCCTAGCCGCAGGGGGTTTCGGCGCTCGTGCCTTTTTCTTGGGCTGGGCGGTTTCCTCTCCGTCTGCTTCCGTTTTAACGCCCGGCTGTGCGGCCTTGCCCTTATTGTTTTTCGGGGCAGGGACAGGCTGGGCTGTGTCCGGAGTTCCGAGTGCAGCTGCAGACTGCTGCTTCCCGAAAGGGTTGTGGCTGATCATGGTCGCGACACTGGCTGCGTAAGCGGGGTCCAGGCCCATGGTGATGGCGATTTCGTCCTCGGATGAATTGGAAAGATTATAAAGACCACATGCAACATCACCACACATTCAACATGCAGCAGGTTCACCCATCACGAGGCCGAGTCTCCAAAGTTCTGGTAGTGACACTCCGGGCCTGGGGATCCCACCACAGGAATGTTTCCACATCAGGATCGTTGCGGTCGCTCGACGTCCTGCGCAGCCACGCACGTGTACAGTATGGATGTGTGCACGTGCATACATGTGTGCATCTGAGTCCATGCCGGCCGGGTCCCGCGGGGCTCAGCCCTCCGTCGAAGGACGAAGGCGTTGGCCGAGTCAACGTTGTTGTTGTGGAGCTCCAAGATTTTCCACCATGGATAATATTTTCCTTGCAAGTCTGCGATGAGTATGTGTGATGTGTTTGCACACACACACACACACATGTAAACACAGATGCTTCCACGCACGCATGCAAGGGCACACCAAGACACACAACATCACCCAAATAATTAGCTTAGACCATATATGCATTCTCGTGGCCCGCGTCTTTGTCTTCCTCTTCCTTTTGCCTGCTGAACCGCATAACGGCCTCCATGGCCATGCCATCACCTGCAGCAGATGGTATTAAATTTTGCAACCGAACACACTGTGAGGGCTGCAAATGCAGGCTGAAACGATCTCCACTGCACAATGCATACCGAACCCTCTTCAAGCTACCAGCGTGAACCCAAGACCCTCAACCTATACTCGGACATATCTCAGCCAAAGAACAGCCGGCTTTCACGAACTGAGCAAACACGGACGTGCGACGATCTCCACCGCTCCTTACATTGCAAACTGCACACTGCAAGGATGATGTATAGTGCACAGGAATGTGTGGAATGCTGTTGCTGCCAGCACTGAGACCAAGACTGCCAGGCAGTCCGCAGTTCGCCGGCCCACTCGTTCCTCTCACAGAAACGTCGATAGGCTGCCCATTCAGTGGGATGTGTGCTGCTGTTGTAGACACCATCCCGCGGCATCTGTGGTGATGGCGGCTGCAGGGCTACTTGCATGCATGGAGCCTTCGGCGGAGGGCCACAGCTGGGTGCTGCTTTGGCAGGTGCTGCGGGAGGTGGTGGCATCATGGGATTCGGTGGGGCAGGGATTGGCATCGGAGCATTTGCTGGCGGCAGAGGCAGCTGTTGGGCACCGGGCTCAGAAACCATCGTCGCAGGGCTTGCAGCCTGAGTTGCAGCTGCAGGTGCGGTTGCTGGCGGCAGTGCCAGCTGCAGCTGGGCACTGGGATCGGTTGCTGTCGGTGTTGACAGCTCGCCATCGCGCGGAAAAAAATGGGTGGCAGGAGTTGGAGCCGGAGGCACCGTTGCAGGTGCGCTTGCTGGCGGCAGTGCCAGCTGCAGATGGGCACTGGGATCAGTGACCCGGTGTTGATTCAAGGCAGGATGGTCCGGCTGCAGTTTCTGCAGTTTCTGAGTCATCAGCTGCAACATGAGAGCCAATTGCTCTGCATTTGCCGCGGGCTGCTGAGAAGCAGAAACATCATTGGTATCCACATCCATGTCTGCAAGACCATTGCCCCGGCCGTCTTCCATGTGTGTATCACCGTCAGGCAGTGTCGCTTCTTCGAAGCTGTCTGCCAGAGTGGCAAGAGAATCTGGCATCACCGTGTTGTCGCGCTTGTCAGGGCTTTCAGCAAGGTTGTCTGCTGGGGCTGGGGCCGCCTCTTGGGAAGCGATCGTGGCCCGGTCAGGTTGCTTTATCTCTGATTGCACCAGCACTGCCTGAAGAGGGGTGCCGCAGGAAAAGCATTGATTACCACCTAATTCAATCTGCTCCTCGTTGTAGAAGATGCTGCAACGAGCACACAGCCCGAGACGTGTCTCTCTGGCTGCAGGGCTTGCAACTAGAGACGCGGCCGCCTCTTGCGTCGAAGCTTCAGTGGGTACTGGCACAGGAGACCCTGCCGAAACCAAGCCTGGTGCCGTCGCTGCTACCTCTGGTTTCCGTGCTGTGGCCTTTGCTGCTGTCGGCATCGAAGATTGGAGTGTCATCGCTGGGGCTGTTGCCGGGGACGACGCTGCAGGAACCGCTGTTGCCGGTGACGTCGCTTGAAGAACCGCTGGAGCCAGAACTGTTGCTGTAACGGCTGGGGCTGTTGCCGGCAAGGTCGCTGTTGGAACCGCTGGAGCCGGAACTGTGGCTGCAAGGGCTGCAGGGGCTGCTGCCGGGAAGGTCGCTGTTGGAACCGCTGGAGCCGGAACTGTTGCTGCAAGGGCTGCAGGGGCTGCTGCCGGGAAGGTCGCTGTTGGTACCGCTGGAGCCGGGGCTGTTGTTGCAACGGCTGGGGCTGTTGCCGGGAAGGTCGCTGCAGGAACCGCCGGAGCCGGAACTGTTGTTGCAACGGCTGGGGCTGTTGCTGGAAAGGTCGCCGTTGGAACCGCTGGAGCCGGAACTGCTGTTGCAACGGCTGGGGCTGTTGCCGGGAAGGTCGCCGTTGGAACCGCTGGAGCCGGAACTGCTGTTGCAACGGCTGGGGCTGTTGCCGGGAAGGTCGCTTCGGGAACCGCTGGAGCCAGAGTTGTTGCTGTAACGGCTGCCCCGGCTGTTGCCGGCAAGATCGCTGTTGGAACCGCTGGAGCCGGAACTGTTGCTGCAAGGGCTGCAGGGGCTGCTGCCGGGAAGGTCGCTGTTGGCGGGGCTGTTGTTGCAACGGCTGGGGCTGTTGCCGGGAAGGTCGCTGTTGGAACCGCTGGAGCCGGGGCTGTTGTTGCAACGGCTGGGGCTGTTGCCGGGAAGGTCGCTGCAGGAACAGCTGGAGCCGGAACTGTTGTTGCAACGGCTGTCGGGGCTGTTGCCGGGGGCGTCGCTGTAGAAACCCTTGGAGCCGGGGCTGTTGCTGCAACTGTTGTGGCAGCTGCCGGGGAAGGCTGGTTGTCAACCGGGACAAGACCCGGTGCTGCAGCTGGGGGCCTCTCAAAAGGGACTGCAGTCCCAGCCAAAGCCGTGCTTGCTGCCGGGTTAGGAGCCGTAACTGTTGCTGCTGCAGCAGGTGAAGCCAGTGCTGCTGCTGGTGCTGGAGCAGGCGGCAGTGTCCCCGCCCAAAGTGGTGCTGCTGCTAGGCGCGGTGGCGGGAGCAGGACGAGTCCTGCCACCGCCGCGGGTGGAGCCTGAGCCGTCCAGGGCACCTGAAGCTGGGCTGTTGTTGCTGGCGGAACCGGTACTGCCCCTGCCAAAGCTGCAGCCGGCGCTGCAGAACTGGGCGCGGAAAGCAACTTCGGAGCAACAGCAGCAGCGGTGCCTGCAGGAAGAGGTGCTGCAGGAGCTTGGTTCGCCACTTGCAGCGAGGTTGGCAAGGGCGGCAAGGGCCCCGGTTCTTCCGACTCCTCAGGAAACACCAGAGCGCCCGGTCTGCGTAGCACAGGAGGGGCAGGCACGTTGTCAGCGTTGCCAGCCGCAGTAGTGGAGGGCTCCAAACACTCGCTGCTCTTGTAGCGCTGCCAGAAGCTGACATACTTCTTCTGCTCTTCCTCCGACAGCTGAGGGATCACAAAATCCTCCTCCTGCACAGGTCGTGGGCCACATAAACAATGCATGCACTGTTATGAATGGAACGGAAACATGCACATGCACGCACACACACACACACACACACCACACACACACACACACAGTCAATCCACGCCCTGCTCGTCTCTACATATAATAGGAGGTGCACGCAGACACAAAGCACCCATGTCGAGGATCGGGCCTTGAACTTCACAGTCTTCGGAGCGGCTGTCGGCTTCCGGGCAGGAGTCTTCTTGTTCGCCTGCTCCACGGCGGCAGAGGCGTCACGCGGCACCAAAGTCTGACAGGGCAGGCTGGGATTTGAAGGTTTCGGGTGGGTCCATGCTGGATAGTTTCTATGAACCCCCCGACCCTCAGCACTGCACTTGCACCGGTCGTGTTGCTCTCAGCGAAGGACGCAGCGTGAGTGATTGTCGAAGGGTGTCGAGCAATCGAGTCGAAGTCGCCCGAGAGACTCTTCTTCACACCGTCGCCCTCCGTTTCACGCGAGCCTGGCGTGCCTGGAGAGGCCGTCGAGGACGGAGCCGCGGAACTCTGCTCAACCGACGCTGGCGGAGGCGAGGGTGTTGCAGGGGTCGCTGAAGAGCTTGGCGGTGCAGTAGGGCTCGTGGAAGTCTGCAAAGAACTCCTGAATTTCAGGCCGGCTGGATTCGTTTGCAGGGGATATTCTTGGGAGGTAGGGGGGACGGCGAAACATGGTGGTGATGCACTGATTCAAGTGGGCGGCAGGCGCTGCTGCACTTGCTGCTGCTGCTCACTCGTGAGGCCAAGCGCGGCCAAGCACATCGCCGAATCTATCTCCATCGCGAGTGCCTAGGAGCACGCTCTTCCCCCTTCCAGAACTAAATAGCCTATATAGAACCCAGCCATTCAATACCTCGTCTCAGTCTAGCAGCACCCGCGTTGTCAGGGACTTGCGGCTTCTCGGGCTTCTTCTTCTCGGCTTTCTTACCCATGGCACACAACCTATGCGCCTCTGCCCAACAGCAAAAGCTTTGAATCCGAAATGCAACCTGCATGGATGCACAGTTTGCCCCATGAAGCGCTTTGCCGTTGTGTGTTGCAGCACAAGACAAGTGATGTACGCATTTGATTTGTACCCATGCACGGCAGTATCATACAAGGCAATTCATACAAGCACCGCGGTGTTAGTTCTCTTTAAGGTGTTTGTTTAGAAACTCCGAAAGCACAGTTTTCCCCGACCGCAGTATGTGTTGCACGACAACATGGCCCTGTTCGTCATCGTAAGTACATGAAACACTAGCAGGCAGCACAGGTCAGCAGAGTGATCCAGCATTTTGTAATAATATCGCAGGTCCGAAAGCACAGTTTTCCCCGGACGCAGTATGTGTTGCACGACAACATAGCGCTGTTCGTCATCTTAAGTACATGAAACACTAGCAGGCAGCACAGGTCAGCAGAGTGATCCAGCATTTTGTAATAATATCGCAGGTCCGAAAGCACAGTTTTCCCCACGCACGGTATGTGTTGCACCACAACATAGTGTAGTTCATCATCTTAAGTACATGAAACACTAGCAGGCAGCGCACGTCAGCAGAGTGTTCCAGATTGTTTTAAAAATCGCAGATCCGAAAGCACAGTTTTCCCGGGCACGGTATGTGTTGCACCACGACATAGTGTAGTTCATCGTCTTAAGTACACGAAACACTAGCAGGCAGCACACGTCATCAGAGTGATACCGCACTTTTTTAATAATATCACGGATCCGAAAGCACAGTTTTCCCGGCTCACGGTATGTGTTGCAACACAACATGCACCGTTCCAAGAAATCACGTGCCCAAACATAGCAGCAAACGTATGCATACGAAGCAATTTTTTTTTCAAAAAAAAAATCAGAAAAAGTCAGAAAAAAAATCAGAAATTAACATAAAAATCAATGTTCCACACGAAAGCACAGTTTGCCCCCAAAGCACAGTTTGCCCCATAGCATTTACGCATTTTTACGCATTTTTACGCTTTTTTGTTGGGGTGTGGTTTCCATTAAAATTCGTGTCATGGTTGTTTGTTTTGTGTTTTTGTTGTTCACGGTTGTTGTTTTTTATGTTTTGTTCACCTTTGTTCACGTTTGGTTGATACGATGTTGGGTAATTAAGATTCTGGTCCGTGTCCTGTGCGTGCATTGTGTTATTTTGCGCAGTTGTTTGCGGTTAGAGCAAGTGCTGCTACACAAGCATCCATGTTCGGATCGGCTTCAGTCGGGATTCGGCACAGCACAAGGGCAGCGGAAGCGCCATCGGTACATGTCGGTACTTTACATTGCACATGGAGCATGCAACAGCAACCTCATCGGCCTGGACTGAGATCCTTTCTCCGTGCAGGCTTTCCCCAGCCTGTGTTAAAGGCCCCCACACTCCTGGATGTCCTCCCGACCTACGGAAAATCCGCAGGCCATGCCGACGGCAGCTGCAAACGCCCGGAAGCTTTCATCCACCGCACGACGTGGAGCAGCTCAGCCTCGGATATGTCCACACCACAGAGCTGAGCTTGTTATCGGGCTGGGCTAGTATAGAGCTAGGAGCCTGTTCCATCCAATCAATCGGAGCTGACATCAGCAGGGCAATGTTGGCTCGCTCGTCATAATCAGCTTCTCCGTTCTCGAACATGTTAGGCAGCACGTCGTGGTTCAACGCGCGACAAGCATGGCATTCCTTCCAGGGATGCAGTAGTTGCAGCACATGCAGAAAAAAAAAAACCGAAACCCAAAGTCCGAAACATCACTGCTATAACCCCTCAAAGTAAAATTGAAGCTTCAAGGAACCGGCTGTGGGCCTAGCTTTGGAAACGGAACACTTCGGGACTGGGGCATCTAGGGGCTTCAGATGGTTTCAGGGCTGCCGGGTGGAGAAGTTTCTTATTGCTTTCTAAGACGTTAAAGCTTCTACGGTTTAAGTTGCATTCAGGGCTTTACGGCACAGGTTTATCGATGACCATTGCCTGTCCCCTGATCCCGTCCATATTACCCTAGCTCCTCAATAGGCCTAAACCTCACGGCAACGACGTCATTATGCACCCCTCACAAAAGTTCTTAAAGCACAAACTCCACAGCCCATCAACCTTCAACCGGAACCCCGAGGCTTCCAGGGACTCAGAAGGGTCAGATTCTTTCGATCGAAAGCAAGGCACGAAAGGGCTTGTGGCACAGCTGTCGCTTTTCGAGGCATATATAGTTGAAGGCCTAAGAGTTTCAGAGTTTGGGTTTGGGGGTTGGGTGTTAAGGGTTATAGTCAGCTGCACAAGTAGCGTGGCAGGTGACACTCCTAGAGATGCAGCACTAGCTATGCTGCAATTCAGTACCGTCCTAGTGAACTATTGCATGACCCTGTTCAGATGATTTGTATCTACCCTGCCAACACTGCATACATATCTAAGTAGGAGCAGGACTAGTCTATAACATGCTTTAAATGCGGGAGAATCAGACGCAATCGCCTGGCGCTGCTGATCGTCGCAGCGCTCGCCCCACGAGTGGAGCACGGCTTCCGCAAACTCCGGGGTGTATTCCCTGCAAGGGAGAACTCCACACTCGAAGCAGACGCATATGTATATGCCGCGCATGTAAGTGGACAATGCTGGTCTTGCGAAAATACTGGTGTCTTGCAGCTCTGAGCGAATCACACGTACTACAAGGCGACCCTGAAACTGCATCCCAGGGGCTGAGTGGCCCGCACCAGCGGCGGAATGCCGGTGACCGTCTTCTTTCCAGCAGCCTGGGCAGCCAGGAGGGCCGGGCGGGGATGATGATGTTCCTGGATTTAATTGAGGGATATATCGTACAGTCTCTGCGCAGACTAGTGACATCAACATTCCTCTTGACGATCGCTTTCTTCACCTTTTTCTTGGCACTGGCCTTGGACGCAGCCTTCCTGTGTTGCTCTTGCCAAAGCTGGCAACGTCTCGCAACATCCTGTGGGGATGTCGAATGAAGATCGATACAGAGTCTGGGGTCACAGGATCTAGCGTCATGGCACTTGTAGCATAGAGTTGCATGACAGTCCTGGAAGCACAAATGGTTCGAAAAGAGCCAGCTCGGTTTACGGGTGTCAGCTCCGAAGGCAGCCATGACGAGGCTGAACCTGTAAACCTCAGCTGTATTAACGAATTAAAGAGCATTTGAGTACGCCTCACGTGTATGTAGAGAGACGTAATGGTCGTTCTATTGAATTTGGCAACCGGCATGTAAGCGTACATCTCCTGGAAGATCCGGAGAGAAGCTAAGCCGCCAGTCGTGTGGTGTTGTGGTTGTTCCAGCAGGAAAGTAACACCCATGGCACGGGCCAGGTACATGAACAGTACACTCCTGCAAGCTTTTCACCGACTTCTGCAACACTTCAAAAGACATTCCCAAGAAGTGCAAACAAACGAACCCCGTCCGACTGGCCAATAAGTTGCCCATGCGGACTGAAGGAGATTGATGAAGGCCTTCTGGAAGCATGACGCAGCGACCGGTGACGGAGCTGCATAAGAAGCAGAATGAGGAACCTCAGATGCAGCAATGGGGCCGGGTTTATAGTTTAGTCGTACAAATGTTTTAGGGGTTTTCGGTCTTTCTGCTTCAGTAAATGGGGTTTAGGGACAGCTGCGATTCTTGGCCGTTTTCTCCCGTTGATGGGGTTGCTTCGGGTTAAGGGACAGCTACACTTGTTGGCCGACAAGATGAATGGGTTCTCTTCTATTTGGGACCCGTGCAGAGCAGGTTTATGTATACATACATATATATACATATATATATATTACATAAAACTTAGGGGAAGCATTCAATTCTAATCTAATTGAAGCAGTAGGTCTAGACTCGACAACTCATTTGCACAATCCTAAGTTCTACTTGTGATTCCAATTAATTCTAATCACAGCACAATTTATGGCCTCATGATAGCCCGATTCTGGTGGCCTGAAAGCTTTCGACAAGGATTTCGTTTGGGGTCTTGTTTAAGAGATGCGTCCGTAAAGCGTGGAGGCTCCTAGGGAGAAAAAAACCTGAAGCATGGAGCAAAACCCAGAAACAGGCTGCGTGAAACCAAAATTCCGAAACAGTGTGCAGCAGTCCTATAGTCCTATATCTCGGATAAAAAGGAAACACTTATAAACAAAGGGAATGAAGCATCCTCGAAGCCTGCCCTCCAGCAACCCCGACAACAGCCGTCAAAGCAACACCGTTTCTAAGGTGATCGGACGCGTCGATTGGCGGAACATGCAGGCAGAATGATCGACATGTAGTAATGTATTGTGCGCGTCACGCAAAGGAATGCAACTTGAGTAGACAATATCGGACTCGGTTTGAGCGTCCCTCTATATAAGCACCCTGCATTCAGGATGAGATCAAGAGTATGTCTGCGGCCAGACATGTAGGCGCCACATGTAGCAAGCAACGCCCAAGGTTTCATCATGCGAGGTGTTATAATGGATGACCATATGTTGAGTCATTTCGTATGGACAATAAGATAATAGTTGTAGTACACAAGCAATCATCAAGCAGATCTGTTGTGGCTAGTGGTAGAGTGCCTGAACATGGAAACTGCATGTTGCAACCCGCTCGGATTCGCATCGAGTACATATCGGCATTAAGACAATGCAAGCACGCATGCTTCATTCGATCTCGATCACTCATCACATCTCAGATCGCTGCCCCATGCATGTGTGTCCGATCGGTGAAATGCTGGTCAATCTTCCACGATTCAGCCGCGTAAGTGTTGAATCCTGTCAACAAATCAATCGCATCGTCTTCTTACAGATCGCGGCACCGGGTCAGGACGAGTAAATTGGCTGCATTAGCGCAAAGTAGGTCTTGCGATATATTGTTGGGCCATCGCAGTAGCTCGATACCCACATGCCGGACAGTGCATCTTCGTTGAAGCTAATTTATTCACCCAGACAGTATGATGGAAGGATTCAGGATAATGCGAAGAGCAAAACTATACTTCTTGATGCAAGGCATCACCGCGAGTAATAGAATTGAATCCTGTACTGTAGCAACACTTCCAATCTTGCCACGCATCCCTTCCTACACAGACGCTCCAAGCTCGAGACTAGGGTATATAGGTGTTTCTCAGCAATGACCAAAGCCATGGCTGCAGGAGCTTGCTGATTTCCTGTTCCACTTATTCAAGGCCCACATTGCTGTATCTCTGCACACATACATGGATCCAAGCAACACTGCTTCCCTGTAGTTCCCAAATAAGTTGTGTAGTGGCAAACCCCACATCTGCCGACCCTGCTTCCCGAATTGAAGCCCAAATCAGTATGTCATGGCTCCCCGAATCAGTATGTGATCAGGACTCCCAATTAACAGAGACTCCACGTCTTATAGAATCTGAATGGAGATCGAAGGCCTCCTTAGGGTGTGTAAAGCTGACATTATTATCAGATCCCAATTTGCTTGAAGACCATCGCATAAGAGAGGCTCCAGGCTGCATTGATTTAGTGCACATCGGGCGGCGTCGGGCCAGTCTTTAAAGCTTCAGATCCAAGACCGCACAGCAAACCCAGCAACCTTATAAGTTGGGTACGGCCCCCATACAGTAACAGTCTACAATAGGGCTACTATTAAGGGCTTGTTATGTCTATATTATGAATATTATATCCAACTGTTACTGAGTGGGGGCCGTACCCATCTTATAAGCGAGTAACCCAAACATCCAACTCGAAATTCGTACAACCTTCTGAACCTGAATTGGAGAGAACAGGGAACAGGCAGTTCATGCCTTCGCAGCAAGAAGAACATCGGCAAGCTTTGGATTCAAGAAGCTGAAATTAAGAAGCAGACAGGAGGCACACTGGAGCAATCACGCAGAGGCCGCCAGCACGAAGCCTCCTGATATACAGGAGGGCCAACCTGGATGACAGACAGCGGATGCGAGGCAAGGCAGACACTTGATCACTTATAAGAGAACTGATTGCAGACTAGTCGTGCAGGCTGGCGTCAGAAACCCCCAGGGTTGGCAGATGTCGTTCGTGTCGGAATACGCATTGTCCACTTTGCGGGCCCTATATCCTCGTTGCTGTGCAGCTTCGTAGATCGCCTCGGGGCCGGGCGGGCTGCTGCATGCAGGAAGCACCGGATTGTTCATGCGCCGTGTGGCGCCAATACCAGCAAAGATCTCCACCACGTCGAGATCTCCAAGACTCTTGTCCTTATATATGTAGAAGGCAAATAGGTATTGCCAGGCTTATGACATGTCTCAGTTGCGCGTGTTCCCCAGTTTATGCTGCTTTGCTGCAAACAAGAAGCAAAGTCGCTCATGTAGCTCATGAGGAACAGGATTGCAATCAGAGCACGAGGTGTGCCAACATCCAGAAGCTTCTGAACAAATGGTCTCGCCGCCATGTCCGGAAAGATGGCGCTGTAGCGCCGATGTCAAAACAGAAACACAGAACTGCACGAAATGGTCTCAACCCATGAATATATGCAGCTGCCCCCAAACTTGCAGTTTTACGCCTATGCAAGCAGTTACTTCATCACACGAAACCTCACAAAGCTTCAGACTTTCTCTAAATGCAGGAGCACATGATAAGCCATGCAATGGGCCATGCATTTAACACTGGACCTGCACTCGATACGACCATCCTGAGGCACGCTTTGCAAATCTGTTTCTTCTCCCTGCAGGCTCCCTGTAGCAGGAAGAGGCATCGCAGTACGGATGTCAGGGCAAGTCACACCCTGTTGCACCAAGCACAAACTGTGTTGCATGATATGCACCATATATAGTACACCCGTAGAATATCTCCCGGCAACAGGTTCCGTGCTACATCACATCCCTGATGTCAGCACCAAGAAGCCAACATGTTGGTACCGTGGCCGATCTTCTGTGCAGGCACAAGACGCTCATCCATAACGGCGGCGTTTGCGCTCATCCTCCGGAATAGATTCCAGCATCACCCTGAGCCACTCCAACATGCAAGACAGGATTTCAAAATTGCGCACGTCACTGGAGGAACTGAAGCTAGGGGAGTTTCGCTTCAAAGCAAGGATGTGCATGTCAGTTCGCTTAAGACGCCCAAGTTAAAGGAGATATGGCCAAGATTCGCCCTGATCTGGGAATGCTTCCACAGCTTCACAGCTTCCTGAAGAACAGTGCATGGCAATCTCTGGACAATATCTGAAACAAGTGAAACGCGAGCACACAAGACGAAGCTGGCGAGAAGTCGACTCAAAGCTGTAATCTAGGACATCTAGTGCGGCAAGGACACCATGTGCTTGATGCCTTTGGCTCTCGCTTTCCTGCAGGAGTGCAGGGATCACAAAACACCCCCCCAAGACAGGATACACCGCCAAAAATGGAAGCTGAAGACAAGAGGCTCCAAGAAGGCCACGTACACAGAGAACAGCGGGCCCTTATGCGGATCGTACACCCGCTTCGGCTTTTTCTCTTCCTGGGCAGCATGCAACATGATGAGATGCCGAAACTCACAACATGGTCAACAAAGTGTCTCACACACGCGCGGGAGGCTCGTGTTCGGCCTCGTTTTGCTCATCATCTGGCTGGTCTCCCGGAATCGAACCATCGTTTGCCTAAGCTTTCTTAGGAGTAGGCACCTCACGCAAGGCAGAAAACATGACATAGGCCAGGCAACCCTTAGCAAATTGGGGGGTGGTTGCGGCGGCTCGGCAATCTCGTCATCGTCACCTGTCGCAATGATTGTTTTCACTCGGTCTTGCTTGGGTGATGGGCATATATTGGAAGACATGTAGATTGCGTGGATCAGCTACATAAACGTGCGCATATCCGGTCCGAAAACACTTCTCTCCGAGCTCCTGCCTGCAGCCACAGGAGCTGAGCAAAGCACACCGCCTTCGCCAATTGTCCATTGGCCTTCCGTTTTGCTCCATCTCTCTCTCTCTCTCTCTCGCATGAACCGAGCATCACAGTGGGACAGCTAGCACCCTGGGTTTTGCTTCGAAAGGACGTGCTCCGTCGGACTTCTGCCGGGAGTCACTACATGAAATATTTCAGTATTCAGGATCACGAACACACAAGAACCACAACAGCTACAGACCCGTCATGAAGCCGTTCTCAGTTCGTCGGAGAGCAAGTTCATTAGAATTTGTATCCCGGAATCACACTAAGCTGGGGCGACCTCAGATGATCTCGAATGTCCTCCTCGTACGGCATAAAGCACCGCTGCTTAATCCATAGTGTCCAAGCTAATGTCTGTAGTTTGGGGCCCCAGATCATCGAGACCATGGTCATAGGCAGCAGAACGCGAGTGAAGCAAATCGATGCGCTCGTGCACATCCATGAAAGACCCCACCAAGTCCTCCTCAAAGGACTCTAGACGCGATCGCAGAGAGCACACTTCACTCGATACCCGATCCAGCCATGACCGCAATCTCGGCAACTCGGACGACAAGCAATTCAGCTGTTCTACCGCTGTGGTGACGACGACCCAGAGCGCACTTAGCCTCTCAGCTTCCGTGGCATCATAAGCGGCGGGGATCTCTGCACGGGCCATCTAAAGCGATAACTGATGCTCGAGCTGTCACTTCTTCGGTTCAACATAATAAGAATTCCCCGATATCTCTGACGCAGGCACTCACGCAGCAAAATCTCCCGGGCGCTTGCCCTCTTTCTTTGTCTCTATCTATTTATCTGTCTACCAATCTCTCTCTGTCTCTCTCCCTCGAGGAGTATATACATATATATATATATATATGTTCTAGATACGTAGTGACACAACACCGGTACATGGATGGGATGTTTCTCCAAAACGCCAAACCCAGGAATCAAACCCCCTTTATCCCAACTTTACCAGAAACACACCATGCCTGCATCCATCGACTTGCAGTATAGGCTTGCAGCTTGCACGAAGATTGCACATGAAAGCAATATGTTTAACACTTCTTGACTCGCTTCTGAAAACACCAGAATGCTAAATTGTTATGTGCATGAGGCAATTGCAAACAGGCTTAGCAACAACATGCATCCGCATGCACAATAAGGCCTCCCTTGTGAGATCATGCTTGCCACTTGCACAGATTCCCGTGAAAGGACACTGACTTCAGCCCCCCAGCAGGCACGTTAGCTCAATGTCCTGCTGTCATACGCCCCGGGCAGAGCGCGTTGGCCAAAAGGGGCTGCTTCAGCACAGCAAGACATGATCGGCCCCAGACCCGGCCAGAGTCTGTGCGGGGTGGCATTTAAAGAGCCCGTGCCATGCCTCCGCTAGGTCAAGCCAATTAATACATTGACGACAATCAGAACACACGGAGCTATACAGCCACGACACCCCGAAAACAACGCTTGCAGGCCGGCACACCCCACACGCACAGACAGAAAAGATTACCAGGACCGTCGCAGGCGCAGCACCCTGAACCGCCAATTTGAAACGAACATCCGCTTCCGGCGCCGACAGCAACAGCCCAAAAACCCAGGTACACGGTCAGGCGACAAGCGAACGCCCAAGTTATACAATTTCACGGTAACCCGGAACTGAAAGTGTGACTCATAGAAACATCCTGGCAAGAAAGGGCCTGCAGTGGGCGCCGATGCGGAAGCTGGCAAGGTCGTCGAGGGAAGTCCTGCCCGGATGTTTCGCACAATACAATCATTGGTGAAGGCAGGAAAGGCCTGCAGCAGGCACCGATCCGGAAGCTGGCAAGGTCGTCGAGGGAAGTCCTGCCAGGATGTTTCACGCACTACACTCATTGGTGAAGGCAGGAAAGGCCTGCAGCAGGCACCGATCCGGAAGCTGGCGAGGTCGTCGAGGGAAGTCCTGCCAGGATGTTTCACGCACTACACTCATTGGTGAAGGCAGGAAAGGCCTGCAGCAGGCACCGATGGGGAAGCTGGCGA